TTAAATGTTTGTATTAATGATAGAACGGCATCAACAATTCTGTCAGTCCTGAAAGCGTTGATGGAGAAATGTCTATGTGAAACCGAATAGCGTGAAAATTCAATCGAATTCTATATATCCGTTCATCTATTCAGTCACATTTGCAATTTATTTGGTATGCGTTCCGTTTAACTCGGCAACGGGGCGACAGAAAAAAAGGGATTTTACTCGGATCGTTGGATATTTAAGCTTTTGGCAATGTGTCATTTTTACAATGCGTTATTGTATTGTATTACAACTTCACTCACAGTTCCAAATGCTACGTGAGCATCAAATTGAATTCCGACGCGAAAGCATGATGTTTTTCTTTTCACAACAGTGCCCGAATCCAAGGAATGATGGCAGCTTAGTTAGGTTTTTATGGTTGTTATTTTCCCGGAGTTTTTTTTTTGGTACTATACATAGATTTTATGTGGAATCGCCCTTAAAGCAGCCGCCCTATATCACAATTGGAATCTTTCATTGCATCCACAATTTATGGCTACAAATTACGTTCATCGCTATTTATTATGTATCAAAATGTAAAGCCGTGTTGTGAATAGGAATAAAAAGGAGAGAGGAGAGCTATGTATTTTTGTCGACGCAACCATCATCTCGTCGTGTTCAAGATGCAAATTACAGATATTATCCACTTCGAACGCCGTTCGCACAGTCTTCATTATGCTTTAATTTAACCATATACTTGAGCGGTGGTTTCACTTTTTAAGTTAAACTCTATCTCTCTTTCTTCCATCCCATTATTACAATATAAGCCGGAACAGATAGGCTCACTTAAGCTATATTTTCAACGAAATTATCATAAGAGTAATTTTCAATTAAATCAACGCTTCCTGAGTGTTCGTCAAGAGCTCAAAGTACACTTCAATCGTTTGTTTCAAAAGAAATTTGTTTTTGCTCGATTTAAATTTTGTTCTAGCCGTTTTATTTTGCAATTCATTTAATGTCATCGTTTGTCTGGTTGTTTGTTAGTACTTGGCGCTCAGAAATAAACACATCTGTAATAGCTGAAACAAGCAAAATGCATTGCGCAGCATTTAACGAACCGCCAAAACTGCCTTTAGTAAGCAGAAATGTACTTCAATTGTTGTTCATTCGATGTAGAATAAAATGCAAATAAAACAAACGATATGAAGACACATGCAAATCGAGCGTGTTCGATTCGACATCGACATCGACGACGACGCGCGCACGAGCATTTCAGATGAACGATCTGATAAACACAACACAAATATTAAAACCAATTCGTTTTGTACTCGACACTGACACCGTTATCAATGGCCAAACATGGCCATTTTGCTGCCGTGCATTATATTTCCATGTTCAATTTTTTTTTGTGCAAACAAATTGCTATTGATGTGCGCTTCGCAATTTACTTTTTTTCTGCTGGTGATTTTGCTTGCTCGTTCATTTCTGTTTGAAATCACAATCGCTTTATTTGAATTTGTATTTTGATGATGCAAGAGTATCGTGTTTCGAATCGCGTAAATGCAAATACACGATTCATATTTTCTTTGTTAAGCAAATGTGATTGTGTAAATATTTACTGTGATCGTTTGATGTATGAAAATGTATAGAATAAGAAAAGTGTTACATAACGGCAAAGTGTCAGAATTACCCAAAATCTCACCGACTTAAAATCAGTTTAGCTAATTAGCAAATATTCATTTATGAAAGACAAATATTTGTTGGTGGAAACAGATGAATCAGTTGCACACACTCCGTATGGAAGCAAAATTGAATTGACTCGGTAATTAAAAGTCATGGTTATTATTTACTTAACTTTACGTTTCCAGTAGCGATTCCGGCGGTTCGTTTATTGTCAATTATCTCTCATCAGAGTTGATAATATGACCATCACAAAATGTTTCCACTTTTTTTCTTTTATTTTCTGTTGTTTTTGCTGCATAAAAAATGTTGTCGATGCGCATATAAATTACAAACTATTAAGCGATTATTTTTATCTGCATTTTTTTCTCTTTTCAGATCAGTGATTTTATAAAAAAAAAAGCACGGGTATTCTAAACTCTGACGAAATGTCACGAAAACTAATCGTGACACAGGGTTACCGATTGGCTTAAACTATGTAATTATCTATATTTTTTGCTCTGAGTAACGTTGGCTTCAGAGGTGCACGGCTTGTGTCAGGTAAATGATGTGGAACAATTGAGAAGATATTATTAGCACAAAGCAAATGCTTTTTTATTGTAAAACCAACGAAACTCGCAATTGATCAAATGACATAAGCAGACAAAGGTATTTTACTGTTCGCCCGTTTCGCTTTCATAAATAGTAAATTATCTCGGGATAGTATTTGGCTCATATCGTGAGGCAACAAGAACGTGAGCGCAAGCCCAAATGGCTGTTGTTTTTGTCGTGGCGGCGAATAGATCAAAGTGAAATCGAATCGACAGACAGTTGAATAACCCAGAGAGAAGAGAAAAGAAAAAAAAATGTGTAAATAAAAGTTTGGAATGTGATTAAACAATCTGAGAGGCAAATATAATTTGAATGAAAAAAAAAACAGGAATACATGGCTCTCTGCAATTCGGCTGTTTGTTAAGAAATTTTTTATTCCCACTGACGGAATCAGTGTGTGTGTGTTTTATCATTCCCATTTCATGAAATTGAGTATCGGAAATTTCGTTTCATTTTTTTTTTTTCATTCTCACCAGTCACTTTTTGGTCGTTTTCCCTTGTTGCCGCTGATCTGTGCTATGAAATCGAATTTCACAATAAGCGAAAAAGCGCGAATTCGTGTAAATTGAAATCGTAAAAATTCTTATGTGAATGTAAATGGGTGAAGCGTGATTAAGAACAAATATTTGCTGTGAATATATATGTTGTGTTCGTTTTTTTGGCATCAAAAAGTACACACATGTAAAACTATATGCACACAATGGGCTTAATGTGAATTTTTGGGCTGAACTGAATTCGAATTCACTCGACAATCGACTAATATAATCTTTGATTTTATTACCCGAGTCAATTGAGCTAGGGGATAGACGCCAATTCCAATAGAATGACTCATCACGAAAAAATTCTTCGAGTAAAACACCTCTATTACTGCACATTAAAATAAATCTCCTTGAGAGTAAATTGAAAATATTTAAAATCACTTCAAAGTGATCTTTTCACGTGGTGAGTGACAAGTTGTGTGACACAGTGAAGTTGACTGCCGACGTTTGCATTGAATTTTTTAAACTCAAGTTCCAAATCCACTCAAATAAATCGAAATCAAAATGAATTATTTGAATCGTGCCCTTCCCCTAGCAACTGAGAATTGCTAGCTGTTTCACATTTATTGGCCACAAACTCAAGACAGAATTTTTCATCGGCTCCTTTTTTTGAACGTTCGTTTCATTTGATCGAACACACATTGAGTTTTAGCGCAACGAAATGTATCGAAACAGCCGCGGTATCACAATACGGAAAACTTGCAAACACTTTAAACGACACAAAAACATACGGCACCCAATAAATATAGCATAGAATTGAAAACTATTTTTTTTCTGACTTTCGAAATGCGACTACTGTTGATGAACGGCCTCAGCACATAGCAAAAGATCGGCGATAAATTGAAATATAAAAATAGAGAAAGAAAGAGCTGATCAAATAACTGCTGAAAACACATCGAATAAACAATTCTTAGTGCGATTGCCCATTGATCAACCACTCTATGATGAGGTAATATTTAATTTTATAGGATTTGTGCACCGTATTTACAAAATCATAACTTTTTCTAAGTTCGTAAATTCCACGGTTCCGTGCACGCGTACAAACAGATGAAATTCCAATTTTCAATTGTAAAAATATGAATGTATGTAAGAAATTCTCGTACACCACAACAAACCCACAAGACAAATGAGTTTCATTTCAAAATAAGACGGTTTTTTGTTTAATGCATTAATTTCGACGAGATTACCATCTATAAAGAAAGAAAAATTCGATTCGTAAATTACTTTGATATTTCAAAGAAACAAAGGAAATGTAAAGCCACAGGTATACTCATATATGCAATAATTCAAGCTAATGAATATATGTGTACATCTTAGAGTGCATACGCTTGGATATTATTATTGTCAATTTGTTCATGACTCATATGCAACTTACTTGTTGATTGCTAGATAATTTGCGCACACTTTGTTTTCTTTGCGAATGCATTAATGCCTTGTGGACGTAAAATGCACACCAATCTAATAAATATGTATAAGTTGTCGTGCCCATATGTGTTTATCTATGATTTAAAGAACAAAAGTAGAAATATTTCTGAATTCCATGAAAAAAAAAATTAATTGAAATTAATAGATTGATCGGGGAATGTGGCAGCATACATGATTTGTTTTAATAAGCCGTGCAGTTCCGCTACACATCGTTTCTTTTTTTGTATATGTGTGTACGGGTGTGTGTTCAGTGTACACTGTAGAGCAAACAAAGAATTTACTCATTTGGTGTTCGTTTGTGGCCAATACATTTTTATGACATTACAAATGACATGTGATTCAGACTTCAATTGATGACAAAAATAAACGATGGCTGGAAATGTCGGAATAGCCTCACTTAAAGAGACATGATACAATTTAAAGTGCAGCAAAGACATTTCTCATTAAACACAAACATCGAGAAAAGTTTCTCGAAAGCAGACTAAACAATCGTAAACTAAAAAATGTAATATGATTTTAATATGGCATATCGTTTGAAGTGAAGAGTATAAATCTAGCGCATGATTTCAACATCATGTGCTATAGCTGAGATGTTTCGGAACATATGATTTCGATGAAATCGAGAAAAATTTAAAAATATTCAATAGCTTCGATGGAATAATTTACAATCGTCATTTGATATTCGAATAAAATCTTATCAACCTACGTGCTTATTAGTCACTTCAGATTAATAGATCACCGCAAAAAAAGCGGTTCGATCGGCTCGGAAACAAAGTCAAAAACAAAAACATTGTAAAATACCTTTTCAGTGTCAGCGTGATTGGTGTGCAAAAAATTATGGCTTGCGTCACCGATAAATCGTGTTTTATTTGTCCGAAGTGTTTGCTTCTTTTTATTCGTTTTGTTTGATCGGTATTGTCATATATACGACTATGTTATTTATTTCACAATGAAATAATCCACACGCGAAGCAAAACAAAAATTCGTTCAAAAAAATTATTCATTAAAAAAAAGAAAATCTGGTTTTTTATTTCTTGTTAGAAAAGATTCGGTATTTATCATCGCTGTAAAAATCCATTCACATTATCACACACAGACGTTTTAATGTCGTATATTTTTTCGAGTCATAACATACGTTCACGCAAAAACACATGAAATGTTTCTATTGAAAACAAAACACTCTTGTTGCCACTAGAATTTTATTGCAAAACAAGACAACATTTTCTAACTTGCTTTGTATTTTTCTTCTTATTTCATTCTTTCTTTTATTCTTTCAAGTTATTTGAAAAGAAATTCATTTGCTTGAGGTGCAATAAAAGTAAGACCTTTTTCACACTATTTTTTTTTTTATTAACGCCACGCAACACTTTGAAAGTTTTTTAAATGTTAAATATTTATATCAGCAATGTGTGCACTTCAAAAATGTGCAGCAACAAAACACAGGGAAATCGCCTTGGCTTGATGAATCGCAAAACCACAAACAATAAACATGATAAACAAACAATTGATTCACCAGCAAACGAAGAATAAAAAATAGCACATATTTATATGACTGGCTAGTCTTCTATTTCCTTATTTGTAATACGTGGGTTTATTGGTTATCTGCTTCAATATAAAACTTCATTCGTTTCACTTGATTTGGATTGACAATTTTATTTTACATTTGTCTCATCTGTGTATTGTTTTGATAGGGTCGCATTCGTGTTAATTATAAATTAGAATCGGATTTATTTCTTCTTCTTTTTTGCAATGGAACATATACAATTGGCAGGCTATTGATAAGAAGCACTCAACATTCACTCTCAGCCATAATCCGTTTTAATATGTTTTCTTGTTTTCAAAGCTTGTTCTTGTCGTATCACTGAACTCATAGAATTGATGCTTTCCTTCGTTTTATCATCATTTGCACTTTTCTAAGTGACCACAAACTATTTTCGTTTTATCAATTAATCGTTTTTCGTTTTGAATTCAGCCCGACTGACTCAATTTATCGAATTAAAATTATACCCGAATAGTATGTGTGTACAACAACAAATTCAGAGAAATTGAGAAATAATACGACAAAAAAAGTTGGAGAGAGAGAGAAAAGTGCGAAGTAAAAACGGCCGTGGCGCGACTGTATTCGCCACAAGCTCAAAAACGACTGCAGAATCATTGAGAATATTCACTGAATGCGGACAACATACAGCAGTAAAAATAAACATGAAGCGCACGCGACTCTGCGGCTCTTTTCAGCGCTCAAATATATTCGATGTATTGCGGCAAAACGCAAGCAAGGTCTATGCATGTGTCGCTTCGCATGTGTTGTTATTATCAAAAGAGCAAAAGCTTCTGAGTGCGGTGCGCTTTTGATGCGTTAACAACGAGATCCGCAAGCAATCGGTTGCCATTCAACATTGTATGTAGTGATAATAATACAATTGTTTAGTAATATAACTATTGCAAATGTTTATACATTGAACCCGATCCCCATGTTAAAATGCAATGCATTATATCATATTTTATGGTAACAGCAAGTGTGCATTCACATGAGGCCGATTGATTCAAACTAAGTAGTACTAGACAATTCACGTACATCTATAGAGTGAAAAAAGTAGGTAGCTGGAGAAGGCATAGAATTAAAAAAAATATGTTCAAATCAAATGTGATGGGATGAAGCAGTAAATTGCAGTGTAAACATGAAAAATTCCTTTGGTTTTTGCGGTTATGTACAAAGTGAACGAATAAATGCTACGAAAGATGCAGTCTACTGTCTACTCTATTTATTAGTGCACACACAATTCGTCATCGTACTATTTTGCTTTGGCGTGTGTGTGTGCAAGAATCATGAGATACTGTTATATTTCGTAAAATTATGTGAATTTGCCAATGTCTTCTTCGTGCACTGTACTTTTTCACACGAAATTGTTAACAGCAATATGAAAATGGAATAAAACGCAATGAAATGGAAGAGAAGTAATTCAAGTGGTGCTTTTTTACTAGAGCTCTAATGTTCCTTTGATTGTCTACCACAACAAAAAAATAAAATCGGCTCCCGGTTTTAACTCTTAATGGGAATGCCGACACACTTGGCGATCAAATTCATGATTCTTGTGCAATTCGCTTACAACGAGAAATGCAGTGGGCGAGAGAAATTCGAACCAAATAAATTGCATTATATCTTTCTATTTTATTGCAATGGATACTACCTGTTCAAGATCACTTTTCTTGCAAATATTTTGAATTCAGGTTGCACGCTTACTTATTCAAAACCATATATTTTTTTGTTTGTTATTTGATTGTGAACATATAAAGAAAGAAGATGAAAATACTGGAAATCCGAGTTTTTTTTTATGTAGCAAATCGGTTACCGTAAATCGACAAGCAACTTTCAGACAAGTGATGAATTATCGATGTTCTGCTTTGGAAATCGCTTCAGAAGTCAAACTGAATCATGGAAATGGATTGATTTTTCCACAAGGAAAACGAATGCTTACTAACTGAATACAGTTGCGAATTGAATTTGAGGTTTGAATAATACATGTTTGAATTGATATTTTTTATTAAAAAAACAGTGACAAATGCAACTTCTTTTTTATATCTTTCCGATAGTTATTGTAAGTATTCAAGAATATATTTATGGTGAGCGTCGATGCGTTTTCAGCATTAAAGGGGAGAAAGGAAGCAGAAGCTGTTCTATCAATATTTGTATTGTATCTATAAGGCCATGCAGTTAAATGGCATTTCCACTTATATTACGTACTTTCAACTATGATAACAGCCGCTAATTGCATTTAATTGTATTTCTTTGGGTCTCTTTTTTCTGTTGCACATATCTATTTGAATAACACCATTATTATTCAGCTATTAAAATTCAAGTTTGTTGCGCAGTAAGCGTGCTGTTCGTATACACGTACAAGAGAACTTCGTATGGCACTTGGTATGAGAGTGTGGAATTTAAAGGAAAGCGATGCTTTGGCGCGAATGAGAAGTGCTATTATATTACTGTGCGCACAGTGATTGCAAATGAAAACGAATTAATTTTCATAAAATGTACGCCGAGTCGGGGTTTCAATTTATTTCTCTGGTGCTGTGGGGCCATATCGTAGTCTAATGTCTTACAATATAACTTGCAAAAGAGATACATATAATAGCTAGAATGAAAATGATTACCACCCAAAATGTGAATCATTTTCATAGAGAAGTCATTGCTTTAAAGTAATAGAAGGAGATGAACCATGAGTTACTAGCATCAGTAACAGCCGCTGCCGAGCAGAATATTTGTGCATAAGAGGAAAAGCCACATACCGAAAAAATAACCATGAAAGAAACTTTGTTGCATGGCGTAGATTTATTGCTTTTGGGATGCTGGTGACAAGGTTGGTTGAACTTTATGTTCAAATTTCAAAACAACAACAACAACTGCGAGAAAAGATTCTTTGGGATGCAAACAAAGAGAGTAATATTACGGCGATGGTCTTAAACAAGGGATTTCTTTTCCAATATTCAACTTGAGTTTTGTGGTGTTGACAATAATGCATACACACAGATGTATAAAGGGTCGAAGGCAAGCCATATCGAACCAAACTCGTTCAATGCCATTGTGTCTTGTGAAAACTTCCGTTTATGCTCAATTCGATTCACATACCAATGAAATAAATGTGTGTGTAACAACTGCATCACCTTCGACCACCAAACACTTCATCACACTACGGTAAATTATTCAATTTATATTCTTATTAGTTCAATGTCACGCACACACACACGCACAAATACAATTTGGCTCGTTTCACTGATATATTTACTCGTTGAGAAGAATTTCCATACACAATTGAGCCCCTATTACTTATTGACACTCCCCGAATTCAACTAATCGTCAGGAAACGTAGAGAGAGAGAGAGAGAGACCGGTGCAAATTATTATGAATGAATATAATTGAAATTTATGGTTTTTTATGTTTTCCCGTTTGGCATTGTAGTATTTTCTTAAATAGTCTCATCGTACGATTTGTATGACAGAAATGACAGCGAATGTGTACAGAAGAAGAATTCCACCCTGATTTCTATTTAATACAATGCAATAACGACAACGAGTGGTGTAGCCATAATAAATGTAATATAGTAATCCGGCGATTTTTCTTCATAACTTTGAAATTGGTCTTTCACAGTTTTGTTCACGGGCTCGATGCGTGTTTGTCGTTTCGTAATTGGTTTTTTTTCACTTCGAAGATGAATACAAAACAAAACAACAACGAATACTCAAGAGCCTAAGAGAGTAACGTAAAGTTTGTGAGTGTTTCATTTTCACTGGAATAAGGATTTTTCAACGTACATAAAAATCATTATGCTTCCTGTGTGTGTATGTTTTTTTTTCTCACTCGACTCGTCTCTCTATAATAGAGTCATAAAAATAACATTGTGAATGAGTAAGCGCGTGAGTCGTTGAATTCAACATGGCAATATGATATCGCAGAGTGTATTGTATATGCTCGAGGGCACCAAATGCGTTTGATATCATAAAGCCGATAAAACGAAATAAACAAACGAACATATTGATGCGAGCAGCGGAGAAGCATCGAATGAAAAAGAAATGGTATAATAAATATCTGTTCTGCATGAATAAGTCATGGGAATTGCTCTTTTATACAGTACATTTGAGGTGAGAGCTACGACAACGGAACCGCAATGACGGCTCAAATATGAATTCAGTTAAGGCAAAGTATCAACAGAAGAAAAAAAAGAACAATATTATCAGCTCACTCGCAAAACCACTCATTTCCTTCATTAAAAAAAATTCCCTCGAAATTCGATTGCATTGCTTGACGGTATTCCCACAAATTTTTCGATTTTCACTTCTAAATTGGGTTAACTCAATTATTTTGTTGATCCCATTTTGCAATGTACGCTGGGAAATCCGATTTTGATTTAATCGGAATGTATTCGTGCCACCGACTATTACTAGAGGTAATGTAACTTTGTTTCGAGCTAACTTAGAGAAAACAGAAATATTTCGTTGGAGTTTTTTTTAGCAAAATTATTATAGACGTCCAACATAAATACGTTTTAAGAGGTAACAATGTTATTTGCTGCAACATGAAAATGTGACGTTGATTTATTAATTCAAAGTTAAAAGTTGACGTTGAAATTCGAAAACGTTCAAAGACACAGAATAAAACCAGACATATTGTTACTATAAAAATCCATCACTCACCTGTATTTCAAGCAGAAGTTCCTGTTTTCGTTTGCGTATTTCGATCAGTTGTTTCTGTTGCTCCGGTGACATTTCTGTATGGAATACAAATACACAATATAACTAAAATGAAATATCATTTCATCATTATGTTTGTTAAAAAAAAACTGGTTTGATCGGCCTTGATAACGATGTACGATTGGCACAACAACAAACAAAAACTCACTTAAAACACAACACAGGTTTTCTCTTTGATAAGACTTTGAGTTATCGATTCATCAAACCAAACAGTTAGACACGGTAGCACAAACAAACTTTGGCCAATTAACGGTACTAAGCCAAATTCGATGTGATCACGAGTAACCACTTCACTAAAGAGGTTCTAAGTTCAAAACAAACTTCGGTAAAGTTACAAAGGGGCTCTCCTAGAGGTAAGTATCTTAAAAAAAAACTTTTGCGATAGTTATTCGAATACGTGCAAAAATGTATTTTTCAAAATACGTAGATAGCAATAAAATAAAATTCTATGAGATTTCTTTGAAGTAACCTTCGGGCTAGTATTTGGTCAAATTCCACTTGAGTAGTCTGTTCCGAATGAACTGTGTTTGAAGTGTGAAAATGCTAATTGGAATGAGTGCACAGCTATGTTTCCCGAAAAAAAGAGGTAGTAATAAGGAAAGACCCAATCAGGTACCAAGTCTTTCAATCGATCATGACAAGACTAAACGAATATATACCGCATTTAAAATCATATTTGTGAAGAGGAAGTAGAAGAAATGCCTTGCATCAAAGTGACCTACCGCTTAATTGGTGGAAGTTCAATCAATTATTTTAATAAATTGATACGCACAACTTCTTTGAGCGAGTTTTGAATGCATTTTCTTTCTAAATTAATGATTGTTGAGCCCTTATGCTTCAATGCATACGGTCAAATGAGTATGCTGATAAAAAACTTCTCTGTATGAATTTGTGTTAGAAAGTGGACATTTCTCCACGCACATGCGCCTCATGAAAAATGGTAATGCTCTTACGAAAAATGCGTACAATAAACAAACAGTTGAAATAAAGTAATTTTTACGTTCCATCAAAATGTTGAGTGCAAAGAAAATCTGAATGAAAAATATCATATTCAATGATAAACTAACTAAAACTGAACCATTTTATTTGCAAATTATATAGGTCACCGGGTGTTTTCAGATATGAAAATTAATCCTGAGAAGTACAGAGATTACTTCAGAAACAAACTCATGAATTCTAATGCAATACAGTTTTCTGAGGATTGAAGTGTGCCGATGAAAATACTAATTGGAATGAGTGTACACTGTACAGCTATGTTTCCCAAAAAAGAGGTAGTAAGGAGAGACCTAATCAGGCGCCAAGTCTTCCAATCGATCATGACAAGACTAAACGAATATATACCGCATTTAAAATCATATTTGTGAAGTGAGTAGAAGGAATGCCTTACATCAAAGTAGCTTACCGCTTAATTGGCGGAAGTTGTATCAATTATTTGAATAAATTAAAACGTAAAACTTCTTGGAGCGTTTCTTCAATGTTTTTTTTTTTTTGAATTAATGATTTATATGTTACTTGTAAAGACAAAGAAAAATTCCCATCAACGACCACATTCACAACCAATTGAGTGTTTATGCTTCAATGCATACGTACATAATGAGTATGCTGATAAAATGTTGATCAGTCATTTTATTGAGATATTTTCAGGCAGCCAACGTCAGGCGCTGAAATGGAGTAAAAACAATAGAATTGATTGTAGCAATTTAAATGATTTTATAACCATAACAATCTTCTACTGTTTTTCACTCCATTTCATCGCCGAACGTTAACTTTCCGAGCCAATTCATCTAGCTGAAAATATTTCAATGTATTGTCTGGTTTTGATTTAATGCAATGCATACGACTGGGATATATTGCTGAGAGGATAAAGACAAAACAAGGCACATTCCAATAAACAAAGAACTAGTTTGACAACACGTAAACCGCATAGAATGCGTAAATACATCATGTTTGGTATGCTAGCCAGAACACATACATAAACAAGAAAATCACAACCACATTTAAATAGGAGCCAACATATCATCAGCACACGTACGTGAGCGCTGCGTTTTACGTTTTTTTTTTGTTTACATTCACTTCATAACGCAATTTGAGCCCATTCTTGATTTCTTCAATGGATTTTCTTTCACTTATATTTTATCGCTGTTCCTTTGTGTTGGAACATTCATACTCTAACATATAACATATAGATGTTGTTTACTTCATACGTGAAATGGAATAAAGTATATATGGTAACGACGGTGGCTCTTGAAAATGGAGAATTAAAAAAAAAAACAAATTATGCAGAGAAATGAGAGAATTACATACTTTCTGTCTGAATTCTGCTGTTTTCACTTTTTAGAAATTACATCGAACAATGATTTGTAGAATAAAAATTATAACGTTTAAGTTTATTTGTTGATTTGTACTTTTTTGTTCACAGAAACTTGTTGCTTCATAGATCGAAATTGCAATGGTTCAGTGCCTTTAATTCGATGCACGTTCTAAAACCCAATTTATTTAACATTCATTCAATTTTCATCAATTAAATCGAAAAGAATGCAATTAATTGAATTTAAATGGTACAAAATCAAATAAAAAGAACACAACACACTACAGTGTAGTAGAATACACTATTTAACTGATCAATCAAGGCAATTGCACCGTTGAAAATTTCCTTATCTATCATTTGCCAGCAATTACCAGCCGCGACACACAAACGAATGTTTCAATTTCCCATGCAAATGCACTCGCACAATCAAATAACAACGCATAATATAAAACGGCGACAACGAAAAACTTTCATAAATTCTTGTATTCCGTTTGTTTACCATTGACGACACACTCACACATACTCATGCCCTTTGTAAACATGCACAAATACAAACACATATAAGTTCACGTTTGCATTCACACGGTGTAATCAAGCATTCTCGACTTTCATGAGAATAATAAACAAAACTATACTTTTGAAATTTCTGATTGAAATAGTTTTTCTTTAATGAAATATGCACCTGGTAAGCGATTGAATTCATTTTGATGTCCAACCGACGATGTACTTGAATACGAACTTCGATCCATTACAGTTAACATTTTAAACAAATTGACACCAAATAATTTCTCTTTAATTTTGAGAAGCGATTGTTCAATTGTACACAATATACCTATATGGTTTGAAATGAGAAACAGTCAAACCAAATACCAATCAATGGTGAATGATAGCTAAGTTCACAACCAGCACCATGGTTTTGTTTTGGAATGGTAGTTTGTCTATATGACGCACAGCAGCAGCTAAATCGCTTGGCACATTGAAATTAACAATTTAACGAATCGATTTTAAATGAGGAAAAATTCTTTTAAAAAAATCATTTCAATTAGATTCAATGTAAATTTCAAATGATTCATTGACAAATTGTTGGCAATCAAACGGTTTTTAGAAATAATGGTGAAATCAACAACGACTACGAACGAACATACCCATACATTTCGAAGAACGAAGTAAAAATAATGGAACAATCTGTCAAAATGCTTTGACTTCGTGCGGTGTATAACAAGCATATAGAAAAATCAACAGATTATTATTGTTATGCGAGTGCATTTTCGATTGTTATTTGCCAATTTTTAAGATTTCATATTATTTGATCAGTGTATGAACGCAACTACAGAACGAGAAAAAAAAGTTTCATTTTAAAATTATTTGTTATATTTTGACATCCGTACATTAATAAAATCAAATTGTTGTGTGTGCGATATTATTGACAAGTTTGTGTGTAATATTTTTTTTTTCGTTGTTCTTCAAAGGTGCCATGATTTGATGTTTGGAAAATCACATCAAAAACAGTAATTGCTCATGGGCGCATAAGCATAAACGCAGTTAAATTTAATATTCAAATAAGTTTGAAATATAAATGAAGTACAATGTTGTGAAAAAAAAACACAAATAAATGACAGATATGCAAACAAAAGAAACAGATGATTCATAAACAAGTTTTTTGCGTTTCAATTTGGTCTACATTTCACAATGGATATACAGGATAAAGTGGCTGATGATTCTAATAAAAGTTCGAATAATTCGAAGAATGTATACAAAATGCACGACAGTAATGTCCATTCATTAGATGTTGTGTGCAAAAATACAGGCAACAATAATAATAATAATAACAACAATAACGACCATGAAAATATGGAAAATGTTAATTCAACGACAATGTCCAATCAAAAATTCGACAATTCAATGCGACAAGATTCGATAAATAGTGATTTTTCACCATTAACCGATTCAATACAAATGAATGGCGTGGACGAACGACACCGAAATAGTCTTGAAATGCGAGCCGCTGACGATGAGTATTCGATAAATGACAATCAATCGAATGTGAGCGATGATGATGGGGCATCCGATAACAATTCCACCGACAATATATCGTTTGTGAGTGAGGAGGATATTGTTGAAAATGTCATTTTACTACCAAATAATTTTCTATCAGACGACGAATCGACAAATTCGGATGATGTAGTATATGCATATCGTGGTGCCGATTTTGAACCCATTCAAGTGAATTTGGACGTGAATGGGGATGATGAGACTGACTATTTGGAAATGGATTTCGAGCCAGAGAGCACATCCGAACCGAATCAATCAATATCCATTGAACCAAACTGCAGTCATTTGGCTGGTTCGTCGAACAATTTCAACGCAAATTTGTACAATACCATGTCAAATGCAATGAACAATGAATCAAATAATGCACAAGTCAATCTAAATACAATCGAACGTACAGGTGTACACAAAAACTGGCTTGCACCGATTGAAGTGCGATTGAATGGCATTCACAAAGAAATCAATGATGCATCGTCGATTGCAACGAATCGCAATGAAAATAGTCATTCTAATGACAACATCAATATTCACTGGACGAATAATAATAATAAATTAGAAGCACACATAGACTCAATGGAAAATGAAAGCAATAATAAGTCACTAGCAGTTAAACAAAATGCAAATAAAATCCTATCAGTTACAGGCGATGATGTAAATTCACCGTACTATGATAATACCGTTTCATTATCAACTAAAAAATATACCGGCACTATACCAAAGACAAATAAACTAAACATTCGACCACGATCGAAAACTACCGCTCCTGATTTTCTGGTGAACGGCAATGGATTGGCACGGTTTGAATCTCATGTTACTGAAGCAACACACAGTTCATTGGAGTTATGGACACGACAATCCGAACAACAAAAACAACAGCAAAATAGTCAAACACATAAACGCTGGAAAGTTTCTGATCGTGAAAAATCCGCATCATCATCGTATTGTGATAATTTGGGTGGCTTAACATCAGGCATTGATACGGAAGATAGTAGCTCTTGTAAGCATCGCCCTGTTATAGCTACTCGTTCAATGTCATTTCCCAATGAAGATTCGTTGGACCAAAGAATACCAACTGCCATTATGAGTGATATAATGGGACAGCCACATTGCAAGCGTGAAATTGAAATTGATATCGATCAATCTATATCAGTTACATTCGAAAGCACTTATTGTACTATTGACACTATTATCAAAGCACTTGTAAGTGAGAAAAAAAACCAAAACACCCAAATTTTTGTAATTTTATAGTGTCTAATGAAAAATTGACTCAAATTTTTATAGGATAAAATTCACGTTCTTCCCGACCTGCGAGCATTGCAAAAGGCGTTGCATGATGACGATGAAGGCAAGGTATCACAAATGAATATTCCAGAATATTTGGAATATACATCGAAACGGTACTGCAACTACAAAGCAATCATTGCAGCCATTGAACAATCATGTGATGACGTTGATGTTAAATATTTTGCGGTAACACTCATTTATTAGATGTGATAGTAAAGATTAACTGAGTCTAATGAAAATGTATATTTACAGCTCCCAGAAGCATTTCCCCCGGAAACTATTCACATTCCAGTTCGAATGATCGCTAATCGTTTGCCAACAAATGGAAGTCTGGACAACATTTTGAAGATTAAAAATAAACGATTCCACCAAATGAATGTACTGGGTAAGTTTTACCGTTGAAATACCAAAGTTGCCTTCAAAAATTACAATCGTTCATTTATACTTTGTGTTTGTTGATATATTTTTTTTTTCATCCAGGTAAAATTGTGAATTTGATTCGTAAATTTCCCAGCATGCGGCCGGATTTAATTCAAAACGAGATTATTTCAATTCCACAATTCTATCGAAGCGGTGTGATTTGTATTAGCAAAAAAAAGTCATCGTCGAACCAAATTTAATGTCGTACGACAATAGAAAGCAATTTCGTTAAAACACTAACACAACCAAACATGATATCTAATTGAAATCAAAATATATTCCTTATTTATTTCATGATCTGTTTGCAATTTTGTTCAAGCTATTATCACTATATTAGAAGATAGCATTAGCATTTGCATCGAAAGTCACAAACTTATTTTACGCTGAAATGTTTAATTTTCTTTTTTGAATTACATAATATTATAAATTTAATGGAAAACACACATTTATTAAATTAAGCAAAGAGAATGTTGACATTAATTTAGATAACATATCTAGCATAAAACAACTATTACAATTTGCATTTTTATAGCATAGTCACTCCATTGGCCATGATTATACTCAAATTAAATTTGTAGGACAACAATGTAAGAAAAATGTATGAAATTCGATAAATTCCGCAAAATTAATTTACAGTCTAGATTTTCATTTGAAACCACTACAATACTTGGGCCAACCACTTCAAATAACTATATTCGTTGATGAAGATTTTTTCTAATATGACTTGATTGTGAGTCAAGAGATAAAAATCCACATTTTATATACAACTTTAGTAAAAGTTCACTAAATGAAAGAATGCATCAGTATACCTAAATGAAATAATTCGCAATAAAATACATTGAAAATATCCTCAAAATAATGACTTTAGTTTTGATGACAGATTTCAGTTCATTTCGATAAGGTAAGTTCAGACTCGGCCTTCTCAGATTTCATTATAATTTTTCTCAATTTTTTGGAAAGATGTTTGCTAAAAAAAAAATTATTGAACTATACAGATATTTAACTCATATACTCCGTAGTTTCAAGTTGACGTAGTTTTTTTCCCCGTAGTACGTAATTCACGTGTATGTGACAGCACAATATTTACAAGCAAATAATATGCCGATATCAAAATCCACACGTTACGGTCTAGTTTCAACTTTGTGAATAATGTTTATTTAATTCCATTTAATAAAATGAGCGTAAGTGTTTGAAAATAAAATAAAATAAAGTAGAGCAAAACAATTTAAATTCAATTTGGTACATTTCATTCAACAAACTAGGTTAAACCGAAGACAAATATTGCGTATTTATTCCAAAATGCAAAAGACAATGGAACCTACTTGAAAGTATGTGCCCCAATGGTTCGATATTCAAAGTAAGTGTTCCTTGCCAGTATGTTTTTCAACGATTCAGTTTCATGAGGAATTTATTATTCATAGGTTAGAATTCAGACGACTTGTCCGAATGTATGGAACTGATTTATGTTTTACGCCAATGATAATGACCGATTCATTCTGCAGATCGGAGAAGGCAAGACAAGTGGAATTTTCTACTGCTTCTGGTTAGTTTAAACCTTTTTCAGTACATAATTTTGAATAGGTATATTAATTGATTTTAATTCTTAAACCACAGATGACACTCCATTAATAGCACAATTTGCGGCCAATCAAATTCACGAGTACTTGTCTTCTGTGGAAATGATTTTTCCATATGTCGATGGAATCGATTTGAATTGTGGCTGCCCTCAAAGGTGGGCAATGCAAGAAGGGTTAGGATGTGCACTACTAAAAGATCCAGAGCTCGTGAAAGATTTGACATCGACAATTCGACGAAATTTTCCATCTGATTTTAGTGTTTCTGTTAAGATACGAGTTCAAAAGCCATTGGCACAAACGATCAGTTTGTGCCAACAATTGGAAAAATGTGGAGTCACTTTTTTAACGGTTAGTATTCATGGGTAATATATTTTTCAATGCCAAGTTTAAGTAACATATATTATTTTGCAGATTCATGGTCGAACCTCGTCTCAAAAAATTGCCGAACCATCAAATAACGAATTTTTGCGCGAAGTAAAGCAATCAATATCGGTGCCGTTGATTGCAAATGGTGACTGTAAATCTCTAGAAGACGCAGATAAAATGCACAGAATAATTGGTTGTGATGGTGTTATGGCAGCTCGAGGTATTTTAGCGAATCCAACGCTTTTTTCTGGAAAATACAAAACAACGCCAATCGAATGTGTTCAACATTGGACGGATATTTGTTATGCTGCCGATCACAACATTGCGTTCAATAACTTTCAACATCATTACGCATTTATGATGGAAAAATTGATACCACGTCGAAAACGTGCAATATTTAATTCACTTCAACGAAAAGAACACATCTTTGACTTTTTGGATACAGAATTTGACCTGCGACCTGAAAAGATTGACCTTCCGGAAAATATCACATGTTCTTATGATGAAACTAAGTTTAGCAACAGGCTTAATCAGATAAATATACGTGAATCTAAGCTAGAGAATGAAAAGTATAGCTCTGAGAGTACACCTGGCAAATTTTTTCTGGAAAAGGCCAAAGAGGACCTTGAAAATAGCGACGAAGAGGAATTTTTGCAAACAAATATGTTCGATATAATTTAATATAAGTTTACCAATTAATCCAACGGTCAATCGTGACACATTAAAGGTTCCAACAACATTTGTCTGTGGATTTCAACAATATTTTTTCATTAAAAAAAAAAAGTCATTTTTCTGACATAAATTCAATACATTCATACGTACCTTCAATATTTTTATAAAATCCTCATTACGTATTGGCTTTTTTGTATTAAAATTGTATGTCATGTAGGAATTCATTCGGCCGGCAAAATTAACTAGTACATTTAGTTTGCCATAATTTTTGGAAATTTCCGATAGCACACGTTGGACATCTTCTTCGGCTGGTATGTAATGAGCATTTTCACCCAATTCTTTCGCTACGTTCCCACCATTTGATGTTTGTAAGTCACAAAACACCACTTTTGAGCCATTGTTAACGAATCGGTGACCGTTGCTTTGCCAAGACCTGATGCTCCACCAGTCGCGAACAACAACAAGACATTCAACAGCAAGAAACTGATCAACAACATTCATCTGATATGAATATGTGATTACATTGTTTTTTTTTTTATGAATAACATAGCATTGTTTTCATTTTCATGTTTTTATTCTAAGTTTTTAAAAACAATAAAAAAAAATTTCAAACTAACGAATCATATTTTGTTGCCAATTTACTGCTCCTTCTCCATTGAAATAATCTTTCAATTTTTCACGGATAGCCGTTCCTTTTGTTGTTGGTCCTCCGATTGCATTCGATATTGCTTTTAGATTTTGCGATGGTAAAGTAATATCGTCAGTATTATCGAATGTCGATTCGGATGGGCTTGGTATTTTTTCTTGACGCATGAGATTGTGGAGAATGCAAGAAGCCATAATAATTTTGTCAATCTTTTCAGGCGTTGTTTGGATTGGTGTAAATTCGAAAATACGACGACATTATACCAAATGCATTTTCGGTTGTTCGTCTTGCACGGCTATGACGATAGTTGTAAATCGCTTTTGTTTCATCGTGGAGCGACTGCGCTCTTGGATATGGCTTCATCATGCTCTTGGTCAAAGTAAATGCTTCATCGCCAAGAATAACATTTGGCAACACAATGTCAGTTGATGGTATAGCGGCAGGAGATGGAATATTGAAATTGCCATAACACTTTTCAAAAAAATGCCTGTGAAAGCACAATTCAATTGAATAGAAATGTGAAGTCATTAATATACATTCAGATTTAATACCTGCATCGCCTTCTCTTCCGTACGAACCAACATCAACAGCAACGAACCTATAATTCGCATCAACGATTGCCAATAAAACAATCGAATGACACTTGATTCGTACGTGTTTACCATCGATTGCACCACAACAAATAGGAAAATTCCATTTGATGAAGAAATCATCGATGACTTGTTTGAACGATACACTTGTTGGTGTCGGCATAGCTTTTTCGAGAAAATGAGTGATGATTGAGCCAAGACATTTCTCGACAATTCGACCGATTGTTGAATGGTGAGCTCGGTATTGAAATGCCAACGATCTGAAAGTTTCCCCAGTTGCCAAGTACCGCAATGTTATACACAATTTGTGATGCGAAGAGATTGGTTTCTGTACCCAATTTGTGGGAACACCTTCCAGGTCTTCCTTTAAAACATCCAACAATTTGGAAAAAAGAATCGGGCTGACTCGAAAATACTCTTTGAACTTTTTTTCATTGTCCATCAAGTGTCGATCAATCAAAATGTTGAGAGCACCTTCTTCGGCTCTTTGTCGGTACAATTTATGTAGACTCTTTCTTTTTTCTTGAGCAAAATAAGAAGAGCCACCAATGCTCTGAAATCGGATTCGAAGAAATAAATTGCAGCATTATATGCCGCAATTTGATCGGAATTTTGCATTTTTTAATCGAAAACACACAGACTACACAATGACAATGCAACAATGTAAAAAAAATTTATGGCTTTCTGTTCTGTTCTCTGTCTCACACCCCGAAAATTTTCTGTTTCTGTTTCTGAAAACAGATTTTTTGATTCTGTTTCTGGTTCTGTTTCTGTTTCTGTTGTTTGTGACAACCATGGTTTACTAAATTCTAAACACAAATTTAGACAAACAAAATGCAATTTTAGTTCAGTTTTTATGAATAAAATGGATTTTAAGCAAAGAATCTCCCTTTCTTACAGGAAATCGTATTTTTTTTTACCTTAAACATTTTAAATTTGTCAATTGTGTGAAATAACTAGCAAAGTTGGGAAATATTTAAAAAAAAAACCGTGTTGATCAATGACTTCGGCATAACTTTGTTGGCTATGATCAACATTTGACAACAACTGGTTCGGACAACAAATGTCAAATTCATTCTTTAAACTAAATAAATGTCTAAAGAAGTCGAGTGCGTGCGAATATTCAAACATTTATCTCATGAAATAAATATGTTTTTTTTATTGTTAATTTTAAAACTTTTTTGTTTTTATTTTTTCTCGAAAATTTTTAGTATAACATTTCAGTGTGAAAAGTAATAAAATAAAGACAAAAATTCAGTAAACATCAAAATAGCGATATGTGATTGATCTGTTATAACCATTTGAATGATCGAACCCTGCCCTGTGAACGACGTGAGCTGTCATTGAACAATACATTCTGTCAAAGTGTAACACGTGCATAACATATTTATTCATTCATTTATCATCGATAGAGCATTATTCCTTTGAAATAAAAAATGATCCGAAGCGTATTAAAAGACTTTTTGCGACCATTGCAATTAATTTCGTCATTGCATTTGCGAAGTTCGTATACAAATCAAACGGTTGAGGATTGGATAAAATCACTGCCAGAAGATAAACAAAAAAGGGTTAGATTAATTCAGAATGAGGTAAGTACAAAACGAATAGAGTCGCTTTCTTGTGGAAGGTATAAACAAGAGAAGTAATTTCAGATTGCTCTAAGACTGGCCGAAAAGAAAAAGATGCCACCAATAAATATGTTAACCATAGCCGATTATGAAGAAATGTTGGAGCAGTCAAACAATCGACGACAAAAGTATCACAATTATTTGCATTCATCAAAAATGGGCACTTCGAATGACGAGGTTTGAATGAACTCATTAACTATTCCACTATTTGATTTAATTTGAATTTTATCACATTCACAGATGAAGAGAATGATAGCAAAGAAAATCTATGATGAAAAAAAACAACTGGGCAAACTTGGTCAGCCGAAAACCGACCATATTCGATATGGCCTAGGACATAATACACAATTTTTCCAAATAACACAACAAACAATGAACAAATGGAGAAATTTCAAGTGAGACCCATATTAATGGCATATTCCTGCTAAAATTATCACAATTATTGTTATTATTTCCATAGATTGTGGCGTGCAATGAGACTAAATGAACCAGCTCTGATTTTGGACTGTGATTTCAATGACACAATGTCCAACTACGAACTTCGAGATTTGGCGCGTCAAATTAAATATTCCTTCAGTGAAAATCGGTTTGATCGTAAACCATTCGTACTAAATTTGTGTAACATGAATCCAAATTCAAAGCTATGGAATGAATTGTCAAACGTTATGCCAGGAGTTGAGAAATTACCGTGGAACATTTCGACAAACGACATTACGGATGTGTTTCCAGTTGAAAAACTAGTTTATTTATCACCGGATGCACCAGACGCACTGGAAGAATTTAATGCCGATGATTGCTATGTCTTGGGAGCTATTGTTGACAAAGGAAACCGACAACCATTGACACTGGCCAAGTCGAAGCGACTGGGAATTCGTGCAGCACGTTTACCATTAGAAAAATATATTAAATTCAATTCACACAAAACATTGACACTCGACCAAATGACACGAATTATGCTCGAGCTTAGGCGCACACAGGATTGGCGAAGAGCACTAAAACATGTACCAGCTCGACATACTTTTGGATAAATTGTAGTCCAACAGTAAGAATTAGTTACGAAAATTTTATAAAAACATTAATTGAAAAATTATCGACTCTGACTTGTGATGAAAAGATGTTTGACATAAATAAAAAAAATTGTTTAAGACTCATTCAAATGGGGATTTTGATTTTGTTGATGCACAATAATAGCGCGATGATTTGAACAAAACATTAACAATTTATGTTCACTAGATATATTGGTGTTAATTACGAATTTGTATGATAGAAGAATATTTTGAAATTAAACGAATAAAAACAAAGTGATGATAGGTACATATATCAGAGGAAATGCTTAATTTCAACTCAAACTTATAAGATCAGTAAACATCATTTCTTATGTGTATTGTCTAGTGTTTTTCATCATGGTCATATTTAAAAATTGTCATTTGAACGTCAATGACCTTAAACTCATAAGTAAACAATACACATAAGATTTTATGTTTACTGATCTTATAAGTTTGAGTGTAGTCGCGATTTTCGTCGATCATTTTCATCCCCATATTAACATGACCAAAAAACCGTTGCTCTGTGATTATCTCTAGGATTATCTAGACCCAAAACGCTTAGAAAAACAATCTTTAGCGATTTCAAAATTTTGGGCTGGTTACAATACTTTACTGCAATCAGTGCATGTGCTTAAAAGTAATAATGGATCTTACTGCAGTGAAACACATTTTTCACCGCGGTAGTCCATTCGCATTTTTCTTTGTTAGAGTGGTCAAAAAGAGTTTATGGTATCGAGATTGTCCATCCAGATCTCGAAAATACGACATAAATAAAGAGTCTTACGGGAGTAAGACGAACTTTTCCGCACGGTGGTAGATGCGTATGTTATTAAGCTAGTTCAAAATAATATTTGTTCGATTTTTCAAGCCTTTCAAGCGGCGTAAGGAAGACCAAAAATATAATAATAATAATAATATTTATTCACCGCCAAAGACTGGCTGAATCATGTATGTTTGAGTGTGTACGTAGTTTTTTATACATTTATTATATGTTCAAACGTTAGCATCGAAATATTCTTTAAATTAATAGCAGAAGTACTAGCAAGAGATTTTTCACACTTTCATGATGAACCCACTTGTACGACATTTGAAAGTATTCTATTTTCTAACAAAACACTATAAAAAAAATATTTCTGACGTTAATTTTGCCATGGGTGAAATCAAAGAAACTGTATCAAAAATTGATTGTATCTCAAAACTAACATCAGATTCGGTTTTCTCGTGCCAAAAGACCCCCAATACATATTTTTGAGTGTTTAAGTCTACATAAAGTATGACTTTTGGACGAAAATGGACTCTTTTTCATAAGTATCACATCAGACATGATTTATATTCCTCGCGACCTAGGGGACATTCATACTAGAAAAACTAGTAAAACTAGCAGCAACTAGCAGCGACTAGCAAGCACTAGCGTATTATAGTCCAAAGCAAATGAATTGAGGCATGTAAAATATATTGTAGCATGCGTAAGTCGCTTGCAAACGAACCAAGTGAATAGCGGAGACGCACGAAAACGAAGTGAGTGAATAGCGACAACGAACGTTGTTATCCGTTGCCGCAATACACTCATTTCGTTATCGTGCGTCTCCGCTATTCACTTGGTTCGTTTACAAGCGACTTAAGCATTACTGTTGTTTCTTTTATGTATCATTCTATCGTCTAGGTAATTTCAAAACACTAGAAAAACTAGCAGCTACTAGCAGCACTAGTGTACTCACTAGTAATACTAGTAAGCGATTAGCGAATACGTAAATAAAACTAGCTTACTAGAATTGCTACGAATGTCCCCTAGCTCGCGACCCCCGATCATCCTGTACAGTCAGATTTTAAATAGCTTTTCTGGGGGTTGAGAAAATCGATGGACAAATTTTGCGTACGGCGGTATAACGACCATGCTCAAATCGGCCTGATTCAGGTTCTCTGACCTCAGAAACGTTCAGAAAACATATTTTTGAGATGTTGTAAATTTTGACCCATTGCAATACTTTCCCCTTACATAAAAGCGTGTTTGGAAAAGTAAAAACGTACTTGAGACACTTTTGTTTAAAATACGTCATCGAATGCATTTACGAAATTGGAAAAATTTTAAAATCCAGCAAAAATGTCTTTTCCGCTGTAAAAAAATATGTATCGTTTATTGACACGATAAAATCGAATATCAAACAAAAAATTGTTTTAAAATTATTGTATATATTTGTTTATTGAGAGTCGATTTATATATCAATACAAATAAAATGTGTTTAATTCAGAAAGCATGTTTACAATGTTCAATTCATTCAATGAATTTAATTTGAAAACCGTAGCATAACATCTGTTCCAATGCAATTGATGGCCTTTATGCTCATTTTCATAAATGTCAATTTAATGCTCAGTTCTTTTTGTATTCTATTCTTTCGACCTTAACTTCATCACCGATTAATTGATACACATAAGTTACGACGATGGTACTTTGAATGTCCATTAGCACAAACGATGGTGTGATAAATGTTTCCAACGCATTATAAGCACCAGTTGCTGAACCAGGATTGATATAGAATTTATTTTCATGTTCATATGCTTCGAATTTATGTGTATGACCCGAAATTAGGATATCAACATCGAGTTGACGCTGCACCAGAGCTAGAGCTTCGGGGTCGGCCCTGAAATATGAAACTTTCGATTAATGTTCAAATTGAATAAATTTGAAATGAATCAATTTTACCACGGAACCACTTGATGGCCATGCGTTAATCCAATACGAAATTGACCAACAGTGACGACCTTCTGCTCTGGATAACTCAAATTCTGTAAAAATAATTGAAAGTGATTAAAATCCCAGCCTATATATAATATCGTTTCTTCTAAAAACACAACGCATATCATACCTCATCAAAATCACCACGAACGATGTGCACATCATTGGCGAGTGTTTTCAGGTAATCGTAGGATTCCTTTGTGCACAAATTCCCAGTGCATAAAATATGTTGAATTCGACCGGGAACCAACAATTTCTTGAATTTTGCTGGCAAACTACTGCAGCGATGTGGAATGTGTAAATCACCAAGAACTAAAACCAACTGCAAAAAGAAAACAACATAGAGCATCTGAATTAGTAACTTCCCATTCACTAGAAAAAATCCGATAACATTTATCATAAACACAAAGAAGAATTGACTACATATGTAAATCTAATTTACGTTCATCAAATACAAACCATTTTTAGCAACAAACAGATCCGGAATTAAAAGACAATAAAATCAAAACGATTTTAACGCGTTCGAGATACTGTGCAATGTAAATTTATTCCTGTAAACAATAAATGTATTATATTTTCTGGGGTGTATTTAAAGTGATATAGACGACGTTTTGACATTTACTATGACACATAATTGCTTCGTTCGGTTAGTCGTACTAGAACACAAACAACCATTTTTGTTTTTTGACATTTGACGGACATAGAGGTTATGTGTCATTGTTTTTCTTTTGGAATTATAAATTTTAGCATTGTCGATTGAACTGTACAAATAAAAAGAATGCGGTTCGTAGTTTATTCATTGCTAAGAAATTTTCCACGAAAACCAATTCAATACCATCGTTATGAACCAACAAATGTGCAAACAGTGAGATATTACAAAAATTTTGGTCATGCACGCCAAGAAGAGTCAAAGCTCAAAGTTGTCTGGACTGGATTTTTAACACTAACAATATTTGCAAGCACGCTTAGATGGTTTCAGTAAGTATATATGTGAGGAATATCTGTCTCTAGACACAAATCAGCATCGATAATAACGATCTTTCTTAAGTCGACATTTTTTTTTGTTGTTATTTTCTATTTCAGTGAGGTGAGTGACATATACGAGGAAGGAGATGATAAAGGAAAACCGGACGATGAAAGAGTGTACAAAGCATCATTTTAGAAATAAAAACGAATTAAATTATTTTTCTTTATTGTAGAAACTATGGAAAATAAAGTGAAAATCGATTAAAACGTTTTGAATTTACTTCAGGTTAAGAAACAGTACTCTTTTTGAACAGCTGTCAATGTTGTTGGAAAAAAACCATTAGATTTGACAGATCTCAGCTGTTATATTTATAAACTCTGATTTTTAATAGAGAAAAACGTCAAGACATAAGTTTCATAAAAGGTGCTTAGAAAAATGGTTTTTGTTATGAATTAACTCATGAAAAATTGTAAATTTTGTGTTTTTTAAGTGGCTTTCGATTTAAAACAAAATTGTAAGTAACTTCAAAAGAAGAAACATTTGAAACGATTCAATTGCCTGTATTTTGCTAAAATTTGTTGTTGTCTCAGAAAGATAGAGTTGATGCGATAGTATGTCGTCTGTGATCCGATTTGGCCAATTGGTTAGTGGTAATTTAACCACAATACAACGTCAATCAGCCCAAATAAATAAATGCCGTCGAATTTTGAGTGTTGTACCGATTTGTGGCCGTGATTCATGTGACATACGACGAAACTATTTCAATCAAAATGACTGGCATGAGAATCACAAACGAACATTTCCATTGGGATTGAACGTATTTCAACTAATTTCGATTGGGTGTGTTTCTGTTGCTCTTTATAATTGGAAATGGTAAGAAAAATCTACGAAAAAGCAATATTTTCAATGAAAATCAAGCAAGTATGTATGTGTAAGTAATATTGATTTTTAACCAGGTTCGATGAGTATATAGCTCCCGTTGTCAACGCAGATGCTGGAGCTGAGCCAAAATATTCATCAGTTGACGAAGACACAACCGACGATGAAGGTTTAAGCGACGATCAACAAGTGAGAAAGAAACAAAAACGTGAAAAAGTCGGCTTTCGAGACCGAAAGGTAATAAATATTTATGACGACTTGAAAAATTTACGGCAAACGGTCATATTCATTCTCTTAAGTTTTTTTTTTCGTTTATTTTTTTTAATGTTCCATTTACTTTTGTTCCATTTTCCTTTATGTGTAAAACCAAATTACCCATGACATTTTGATATGATCACAAGATTATTGAGTATGAAAATCGTATGCGAGCATTTTCTACCCCAGACAAAATTTTCCGGTATTTTTCAACCGTTCGAATTATAAGTGCCAACGCGACAGAAGTGTATATGACACCCGATGATTTTTTGCGTGCAATTACTCCGAATATGAAACAACCCGACGGTATTTACCATTTACTAATCAAACGGTCTACGTGTAATATAAGATCTATTGAAATTCATTCTCATTTGGATGCGGTATTAATTAGAGCTTTCGGTCGATTTAAGAAGAAACAATTGATTTAATTGACTTAATGATAAAATTAGGGCCATTTAACATTTAACGGGGTTTGCATCTCACTTCATTTTGGCTATTGGCTAAGGATTTCTATATCTGTCGTTTTAATTTGTTTTTATTTTATTTTTTGCATTCTCTTTAAAAAAAATACTTTTGTTTATCAATTCAATCATATCCTATTCTATCATTCGTTTGTTCATTAAACATTTTACACATACCTAATTGGCTAACCTTGCTCGTAATAATACAATAATAATAACAAAAATATTCGCTAAAACTATATTGTGTTGGGTAAGACCGTCAAATGTGAGCCGATGTTTTATTTTTTGGTCATAAAATTTTCAAATGGAAAGAAGTCATTTTTTCATTGTTCTGGAATTTTTACCAAAATTGACTTCGGACATGAATTTACCTTGAAAAATTGTTTAAGAAATTGTCAAATGTAAAATCAAAGAAAAAGTGTTATTTTGACATTTCAAGTGAACCGAAACCAAACCATTTCATTGGTTTCATTTACTGAACGAACCGGAGCAAGCGGAAAGTTTCGAAGATGGTTTGCACTGAGATGCGCAAATCACAATGTGCATAGAAGCAACGTTGTATACTCTTAAATTCAAAGCATCGCTATTCACGTACTCAAGCGTCGCCATACAAACCATTTTCGGAACGATCCGCTTGCTCCGTTTCGTTCAACACAAAGTGAAAACAATTCAAGATCGGTTTTTATGAGAAATGTCATAACGGTTCACTTTACTGGTAGAGATACTAAACATGCATCGATTCGCTTCGGAGTTCTACTAAAAATATGGAGTAGAAACGGTAGCGGTAAGCATTTGACCAAATAAAAAAATATGGTAGCGACTCACTTCGAACGATGGCTCACATTTGATGGTATTAACCTACTCTTGATTAGTCAATTCAAGGCGCCCCAATTCAATTTTGAATTTATCATTTTGATCATGGTTACTAAATCGGTAGCTTGCGTCTACTTGGCTTATATGTTTTTTCAAATAGATAATTGAATATGAGAATCGTATCCGACACTTTTCAACACCCGACAAAGTTTTTCGATATTTTGCTACGATTCAAGTGCCGCAACCGCACGGTGAAAATGAAGTATTTATGACGCCAGTCGATTTTCTTACAAGTATGACACCTGGAATGAAACAACCGGATGGTATTTATTTAAAAAAAATGAAATATTCAAACCGATTCAAACGGTTCTAGCTATTGCATGCATTTAATAATAACTAACTCATTCATTTGTTGATAACAATTTCACTAATTTTTAACTAGATTTATGCTATGTTATAGTTTGTTGAGATAATATTTTTGTAAGTGTAATTTTGAATTTAAATTAATATTTTTTTTTTATTTTCTTTTTCATCGAAGGATTGGGACTAGATCAATACCGGAAATACGACCCAAAGGTAAAGATTTTTTTTTTTGAATATATTAAATTAACTTTAGTTGGACATCAGAAATATAAATAATAAGCTAAAGTCAATTTCTTTTTTCACGTGGAAATTCTTTTCGTATCACTTGAGCCTTCTACTTCTTCTTGTTGCCTTGAGTCTTCATCATTGTATATGAGTCCATTTTTTCAATACTTGAACTCCAATCAATCTGAAATAATTTAAAAATTCTATGGAACAGATATTTTTTTATTCTGGAAATCAAACAATGACATTCTCTAGTGTATAGCACTGGATTTTCGGAGTGTCAGCAATATTTTTCAAAAAAAAAACGCAAAATATTTTCATTTTTGAATTTTGAATTTTGAATGAACAGCATTAATCACGTTTACATTTTTTTCTATTTTCTTTTCTGAACGCACAATTTTATTACAAATTCGAACGAAACAAAAATTACACAAATATAAAACCCAAATCAATAAAAAAATTCTAAAAATATGAAATCCCGAAGGAAGAGGTACTTCAAAGCATTATACTTTTTTTTTCTAGAAGTTTTTTTTTCGTTAAGCTTGTAAAATTAGCCCATTTGGAATGAATAGAAACTTTTAACAAATTCAAAAAAAAAAAAACACAAACAAACACTCAAACACTTTCTCTCAGTTCTCAAGCACAAGCATAGTTTGTAGTATTTCTAATGTGCAAATGAAAATGTGCAAAAAAAGTGAAACAAAGAAAATGCCAGCCCAGAATAACACAAGTAACTACAATGAAGTTCTGCCGGAAATGTAGCTGTATCGTGATACCAAACAAAGATTAGGGCACAAAATTCACATAAATTTTGCCAAGTTGACATTTCCATTTGTGCAATTTATGGCGACGTTTTCTTTGTTCCCTTTGATATTCAAACAAAGACATCCAGAAAATACACAAACACATTCATATCCATATGCATACACTTCAATGAAAAACTTGTAGTGCCTATGGCTTTCAATGAGTTACATAAAATGCAAAAAATCTTGAATAGAAAAGTCATCCGATTTACTTATTCATCTTCTTTGCAATTAGCGAAATGCAAATAGAGAAATACCATTTTTGTTTTAGACCCGCTATATGTATACGTATTTTTTCTTTATTACATTGTACTGTGAACTCGTTTATTAAAGCCGAGCAAAGGATTTACGAACACACTCACAAAATAGCAAAGTGTTTGTCATTAGTTTGCATAACAAGAAAATTTAACGCACTTAGTTACACCCCGAGTCATTATTATTCATTTTTGTTTTTCATTATCCATCTCGTTTGCATTGCAAATGATGTTCCACATGCACAGTTTTGCGCTTTACACTTTAGAAATAAAAAAACACACATACTTCTAGTGATGATAGTATATATAAGCGTATACCGAAATGAATAAAAGTAGTTGAATCTGCCATTCAATCTGCACATTAACTCGCGCTCACACCGTACCTGATTCCATATAGAGAGAATGATTTTGTATATAAATAGCACAATACATTTTAATTGGATGCAACAACAGAAACGGATGTGTCAAATTAAACCATCTTTTCTCACCCGTTAGCATCATTTTCTTTGCTGCTCCACACGCCCTCTCCTCATTTAATCTCCTTTGCTACTTATTATATTTCAAAGCACACTGAACGTAATGTTATGGCATGAAAATCCTGTTTAACACATTGTTTTGTCCTTTGTATTTAAAAAAAATTGAAATGATTTTCCCGTTTGTTTCCCTTTTTGTTTGAATTGGTTTATGTTAATGGGAATTGTAAGAAGTGTTTGCAGGACACGATTTTGTTACGCCACATAATTTTCAAATTTCAAAACCACTGGAAACTATAAACGTTCGTTGTATAATAAAGTTTTTTTTTATGTTGTCTCACGAGTAAATTTCTACTTAAAAATTTCTCTTATTTACATGCTCTCTTTTTTTACATTTTCTAGCTCTCTCTATATCTCTGTCTCTATAAAACTCTTTTATTGATTTTCGAATGTTCCGGTTTTTATATTCTATCTGTTCACTTTTCTATCTAATGAGAATGCTTTGTGGTTCGAAGGATCTTTATTGTATCCATTTGTGTAGATTTAAAAGCATTAATGCAATTCCATTGAAATGTATTCGATTTATTTCTTCTTGATTTAGACCGTGACGCAACGACTCGAGCTATCATTAGAGAAGGACAGTATATTCTACAAATTGGGCTCATATGGACTCATTTCGTTTTCGGATTATATTTTTCTTCTCACAGTTTTAAGCAGTAAGTAACACAAAATGAATAAAAGCTTTTTTTTCATCAGTTTTGTTTAATTTTATTGATCAGTCTGTTTATAAGAGATTACAAATTGAAAAAAAAAAATACATATCAACTCCAAGAATAGATGACACAATTTTCACGAGATAAACTTTTCAGTTGATTAACTTTAATTAGATCGGCCAAAAAGCAGAAAAAGAGGAAAAAAGCAAAAACAATTTCGTATATATACATGTCATGAAGTCTCTCACATTTAAATCACCGACAAACAAATACAATCATAAAATCATGGTTGTTGGTTTTTTTCCCTTCACTTTGCATCGATCGCAATAAAATATATATGTATATCTATAAATTTCTCAAGTAAATATCAAAATTCCAAAGGCGAACTTATTTGCAAGATATCGCGTTCGCAATTGCATTTGGACCAGAGCCAAAGTAATTCATGAAATATTCAAAAGCGTTATTCAGTTTCTTCATCCATCATGATTTTCGGTTTCGATTGTCTTTTCTTGTGCTTATTCCTTCCATTTCACTCGGTTGGTAGTTTTCGAATGCGTTGTTCTCAAAACGAAATTAAATCGTTAAAAACATTTTGGAGCATATAGATGATAGTGTTTTCCCTTGGTTACCAATAAGTGAATGAATTCAAAATAACTGCTGCTATCGCGCTTAAACCAAAATCGATCAAGTTTTCATCATCTAGTAGATCATTAAATTTTGTATGTTAACTCTCCCACAAACGTATTTAAATTTACATGAATCACAAGTTTTTTTTTTTCTTTTTTTTTGTTAGTTAATCAAAACATTTATGAACTTCTAACTACATCACTTACTAAAAAAAATCATGCCTCTGAAATTTGATTCACAAATGTGAATTCCAGCTTCTCTCTTTGGTAATAGTTTTGTTTGTATAGATTTTTCTTTGTATTTATGAAATAGAATCTATCATCTACAGATTCTCCTGTTTATCAATATACATAGAATAAAGATATATATATATTTCGTGCACTTGTATCTAATTATTTTGTGAAAAATATGGTTTACTCTAACGTTTCAGTTTTAAATAGATGTATATATGTATGTTAATGTATATATAAAGTTATATCAATGAGTCAATACATTCATGAGTCAGGAAAACGAGCGAATCAAGAGAAAAAATCAAGTTTTTCTGCCAATGGCTAATTCATTCAATACTATAGTATAAGTTAGATTAATTTTTAATGCAACTTTCATGAATGAATTGAACAAATATGGCCTTAAATCTTAAATATATATATAGAAAGAGCCGAAACAATGGTATTTTCGTAGATGATTCGTGTTTTTTTTTGGCTTGTAGAAAAATACATTCTAAGTTCACAAATCTATAATTTATAAATAGTTTTGCAGTATAAAGGTCCATTGCAGACGATCCTATGTAGTAAGCCTTCGATTTCATGTTTTTCTTTTTAAATTTTGTTTCGTTTAGTTGGCCGTTTGGTATTTTTTTTTATTATTTCAGTTTACTACACGGTGGTGATATTGCTGTCGCTATAGTTGTTACATTTGGTGTTATTGGTGGTTTACTCGATTTAACTATATCAAAATACTTTGTACTGTTGTATCCGAACAAATCGAAATCCGGCCCGTATATTTTTAATAAGTCCCTTAACATAACGTCGTCAAGCTTCGAAAAATACCTTGTTCAGAGAAATTGATAAAAGTGAAATAGATGTTGATGAAAATTAGGGTATTAACCTCATTATTCTATTGATCAATAGAATTGTGATGAATTTAAACGTACTTGTTAATAAGTTTAGCCGTTTGATGCGTAGATTCGTTGGAAATTGAGCGAATTTTTTTGCCAAATGGCATTTTATTCAGAAGTAGTGTCTCTAGGCCACTTTGACGAATAATGTATTCCGTATCACGTTGGAGCGTCTCCACTTTGGCAATTAAGGTATAATTAATAGTGCATGGCGTACAAAATGAATAGTACGGCGAAAAGTGTTCATCGAACCGTTGACCTTTCTTATAGTTATCGATTAAAAATAGAATAAATTCGGTGAATGTTGGTCCGGGCGGTTTCTATGTCCAAAATAAAAATGGAAATAAATTGTATGTAATTTCCGTCAATAAATACTGAACATGAAAATAAAGAGCAGATCTGCAATAGCGTGTAAAAGCAAATGACAGTAACTAACCCGTTTATTTCCTTTGCGAAAATCTTTAATGATTTGATCTCCCAATAATTTGTAGTATTTGTTACGACGACTTTCCAATTTATTACGATAACCGGATAACAGTCGTTCAAATGGTTCGCGCACTATAAGAAATGACAATGAGCTAGAAAGTGCTTCGTTAAGTTCGGTGGCTGATGGTCGTGGAAAGCGTTTTCGTGCCAATTCGAGTGGTGATGCTTTCGTTCGTTGCAAAAATTGCACATCATACCCGCCTGCAAATAAAAAATTAACAAAGTAAATCAAATTTAAAAATGCAACACGCGCCACCAATTCGCCCAATATGAATCAAATATTTCAAATTACAAATGAATGAGCCGTGTGCATCAACAGCTATAATAACTTGCCTAAAATATTAAAGTAGTACATCCACGTTGAGCTTGCCGCTTTAAATATATTACACCATGCTATGCCCGAGCCGTGGCCCATTGAAATGAAAAATTCCCATGCATTTGGCGGATATTGGTCGATCATATTGTATTTGGTACACATTTTCCATAAGTGGTCGCGTCTTGTCGTAAAATCCGCTTCGGCAACAGCGACTTTTTCCTCCGAATATTCATAAATTGGATTGACAGTCGTACTGGGTATGGATGGTAAATTTTGCGTTGCTGCTTTGCCCATTGCACTGATTATTGATTTATTTGATACTCCTGTTTGACCAAATTTATGATGGTTATATCGTTTGTATTGCAAACGATTCATGGTGTAGTGCTTCTACAGTGGACACAAATGAAAAGTTAAAAAAAAAACAAACGAAATTCAAACTGAAAATGTTTACTCGTTCATAAAGCGATGCCGAAACGACTGTAAATTATTCAAATGGGATTTAATATGCATTGCGTATTTGTTTATGCTTTTCCCATTGATGTCAATTTGAACATATTCAAATGGAAAATAATTGCACTACAATTTCATATGAAACAAAACCTTGCACAGTTTGCGAGTACTACTATTTGTCGTTCACACTATTCACATATGGTGTTGTTGTTGACATCTTCGATCTTGATACTAGTACTTAGAATTACAATAATTTACCTCATCGCCCAAATAGTTTCCGTTCCCATTGATGCTATTTTTAACAGCGGCGGATGTCATTGGTACCGTTGACAAAGACGATGATTCCCATGCGGCAAACGATTCTCGCAGTAAAACAATAAAATAAATTCCAATGATTGACACAATGAGCAAAATTTTCAAGCAAAAATGTAGCCGCTTCTTCGTACATTGTATCGATACCAACATTTTGGATTTGTTGTATTGCACGTGCTGTTTTCGTTTTACTCAACGTTCATTTGAAATATTGCTGCCTACAGTCCAATAATCATTGAGATTATTCATTATTTTAATGCAGTTTCCGTGTTGTTCTTCAACGCCAACCAATAATATTTATCGTATTTTTAGAGTGCATTTCTTTCCATATCAATTTTCCGCTACTATTTTCGAATCGATTCTACTGAACGAAAGAAAAAAAAGGTGATAGATAAAAAAAGTGCACCCCTTCTATTTAAAAATGAAAATATTTTTATACAAATTATCGCAAAATCCATTTAAAGATATTTTCAATCGCGTGCTGCACACTTTGAGTTCAATGTGCTTCCCATTAATTTGCTGTAAGCTTAAATTAATTAGACGTTTAAAAATCGATTTTCTCAGTATCGTGAAATTTGAAATAGTTTGCAGTTTACCCAGTGAAGTTTCGGGCAAACTTTATTCTCTGCGGAGCACTTGCTATTTGGCCTATTTAATTCACAAAGTAAAGCCGCCAATTCACACATAAGAAAATTACAACGGCGAAAATGTTGGCGAAGAGAAGAGCTAAGAATATTTGGCACATGAACAACAAAGAACACCTGTAACTAATAATTTATGAGAGCATTCTTTTGTTTGCCTTCGATTTTCGATTTTTCATACTTTAATTCTTTTCTCCACATACATAATTCGGTGGTTTTCCTCCACATTTTATTTTCATCATTCTTTTTGCATTTGATAAATTACATACATTTCAACCCAATATATCGGACAAACACAATAATGTGGTCTTTTATAGTTATTTAACATGCCAACGTAAAGTTGATTGTGAAAGTGAAACGCTGTTGTTTTTCGATTCCGATTCCGATTTTTCTCCAGCTTTCATTCTTTCTATCCGAATAATGTGTGGCTAACGAAGCAGCATAGTATTAAAGAGCCTCATGCGGCATGCAATAGCATTTACATTAACAGTCAACTCGATTAAATATTTAATGGCATTGTTGTTGTTGCTATCCCAAAACGTATGCGTCAAAAAAACTCGAATTAAATCGTGTAAATCGAAAAATGCGATAAATTCCAGCCGCTTTCATTCCGTATATCATGTGTGTACGTTTTAATTCATTACAATAAAAAAGTAAGCTGCTAGTGACACGATTGAGCTGTGTGTTTTTTCTTCTTAAAAATTGGCATGAAAGCCTATAAACGGGTGCGTGTGTGGGAGAGAGCGAGGGAGAGAGAAAGTTTTGTTTTGTATTTTGTCACGTGAATGAATAAAAACAAGAACTATTTTCAAAAGAAACGTACAAACCATAATGAATTTCGATGGGGTGTTGCTACTGTTTACGTTTTTTTACTATTGGGAGTATGAATTGAAAACAGATTTTTTTAAATCTGGTTTTTCAACTTGCACTCCCAATATTTTGACGGATCGATGAATAAAATGCATGTTGTTTTTTCTAATTTAAACATTTTCAGTTTTTTAATATTTTTAATATTCTCTGGTTGACTTGTTCCTAGTTTCGATTACTTTTTCATCAACTCTATTTTGAGTACATAATGAAATTAAAGAGTTCTTGTGATAGAAAAAAGTCAGTTTCTGAAAAGGGGGCATGATTCGCACAAGTCACATGAATGACGGCATTGTTTGACGTCATCATGGAAATGGTTATGGTAAGCTTTTTCCTGGCAAACTGCGTTGCACACAGCTACTGCGTGTATGCGAACAGGGGAGATTGAACTATGTAGAACGCCTTACGTCTATTGAATTTCAAAATAAAAAAAAAACACACACTCACATTTTTTATGTGTCGACCATCGTCGATTTCAAATAAACGGACGATTTAAATCATCAAATTCATATCATTGTCAAATGCAACAGTCATCGATTGTATGTGCCAACATTTCTAGAAACATCTGATAAAGAAATAATGTAATTGAAAGCTTCCGAATAAATTTCCAAGTTTGAATCACGCGCATCATACAAGTAGCTATTACGATCGGCAAAAACCATATATGTATGTGGTGCTATAGTCATATTTGTTCGTTCTTCTTTTATGATTTTTTTTTCTCGTCTTATCAATTTATGCCGTTGGCGCAGGAAATTGTAGGCTTCCTTTTTCTCAACTTCTATTCAATCTATTATCTATGCAAAGTGATGTATAAAAAAGTAGTAAACTTACTTGTATTTTTGTACGTCACAGTGGTTTATCGATGATTTGAATTCGTCTTTTGTTCGGGGTGGTGGAAACCAATTCAAATTTTCTCTTTTGTTCAATTTAAATTGCTTATTCACTTTTAACTAGGCTATCACAAAACAAATTTGACTTTTTCCTTCTTTTTTTTTTGCAAAAATTCAGAAATAAAAATCAAAACTAAACCGAAAGAAATGTCGAGAGCTACTTTTTTTTAATTCTAAAACGCACTGAATGTAAATGCACGATTCAAACTGTTTGCACAGCGATGGCTGTCTGAGAACAGAAAGAAAATGAAGAGAATTCCTAGCACGGTAATTTCCAAGCACTTATGTTTTGCAAAATTCACGCACACAATCAACCAAAGGATAAAATGATAAAAGCTATATGTCTCACACATAGACATATATACCGTGACGTGGTTGATGTTTGTACGTGTGCGTGAATGTGGAAAAGCTGTTCCACCATCTGATGTATGGGATTTGCGAGACTTGTGCGATAACACATACTTACGTAAACCGCATCAATATTCCCACTCGAATGGAGCAGATTTCGGTGTATATGTTTATGTGCTCATATTGACGCCACTTAGTCGCTTCGCATTGAGGGGCAATTTTTGCTGTTGCTTTCAAGCGAAATTTTCACAACAATCGTCTATTCTGTGCGCTCGGTACATGAGGAAGGTACCCTCCCGAAAATGGATAACGTGGCACAAAAGAAAGCAGAGCAACAATAACAAATACAAAATATCTTGCTTTTCCTTTTGTTTAACAAACAAAAAAAGAAGAATTGGCGAATCGATGCAGTCTTGCGCACATCCATTATTTTCATTTTGGGAAAACGTGATTAACATGTGGCCGAACAAACTGTCGAGGGTGTATAAATTGTATAACAGTTTATCTTTGTTTACTATATTCTTTTTCTCTTTCATACACATGCACACATATTTTTGGTATAGTTAAGACAGCGAGATAAGAATGTACATTTGTATATATAAAATCACATGCTGGAGGTTTGAAATCCGTGCCAAGGAAATACAAAAAAAAACTTCCTAGCACGAAACAAAGACCATATGGTCATTGATATGTCAGCTTGAAAAATAGTTGATCGGGAATTTAAATATCGCACTTCTCTTTTCCACCTATTGGAAGCAAAGACATTTCTTTAATTCACAACACAATAAATCATTCTGTTTGAAAAAGTAGATAAGAAACAAACGACATCAAACAAAACATTCTATTTTTTCCTATTTAATTGTTTCATTTCGATTGTTTTTCTTTGTGTTTTTTTCAGCTTCGAGGCGCCATTTCGAGATTGCATTTCGGTATGATATTTATTATTATTAAATAGAGAATAGCTAATTAATGAAAGACGACTTGATTTCACCATTTACTTGACACATATAATTTGGGGGCCAAACATTAAAAAAACAACTCACTTATAAGTTGACCATTGAAACCATTAAATTTGAATTAACATCGGAATAATTTCCATGTTTGCCCCAACCCGATTCTCATTAGTTTCTTTTCCTACCTTTTGTAGACTTTTCGACTTGAATGGCGATGGTGATGTTGATTCTTCGGAATTTGACAAGGTGGCAACCTTAGTTCAGAAACAAACTTCAATTGGTAACAGACACCGTGATCACTCAAATACAGGCAATACTTTTAAGGTAACTAATTTTATCATTGTTTTGATCAAGAATAGTTTCATATTTTCGACATTTGAAATGCAATTAATCATTAATTTTTCTGTATGTTTTTCTTTATAGGGTGTCAATTCAGGTATTATTGGTTATTTGACCAATCAAAACCCATTTGTATCAATTTTTTTATATTTTCAGCTTTAACGACATATTTCTTTGGAAAAAAGATGGACAAGAAGTTAACGATTGAAAAATTCTTGGAATTTCAACAACAAATTCAAAAAGAAATTTTGTCATTGGAATTTAGACGAAAGAATCCAAACGATGAAAATAAGATATCTGAAAGTGATTTCGCCGAATTGCTTTTGGCCTACGCTGGTTTGTCTGAAAAGAAAAAGTCCAAGAAAATGAAACGAGTGAAAAGACGTTTTAGAGATCACGGTGTTGGTATTTCATTGAAGGAATATTTGGATTTCTTTCACTTTTTGAATAATATCAATGACGTCGATACAGCGCTTACTTTTTATCATATTGCCGGAGCATCAATCGATCAGCAGACACTTAAGCACGTCGCAAAAACTGTTGCACATGTAGAATTATCCGATCATGTGGTGGACGTGGTACGATTTTAAATCAATTCCTTTCCTGTATTAAAGCATGTTGTTAAAGAATTTTCTAAAAATGTCTATTTTCTACAACTTTAGGTTTTTACGATTTTCGACGAAAATATGGATAATCAACTTTCGAACCGCGAGTTTGTGGCTGTAATGAAGAATCGACTATTGAGAGGATTGGAAAAACCAAAAGATACCGGCTTCGTAAAACTCGTTCATTCGATGTTGAAATGCGCAAAAGATACCAAACCTGTCCTCCTTGATATTTAAATCGAAAACAGTCTTTTCTCACATTGAAATCATTCTCATCTTTACCTATAGCGAAATTTCTATTGTTATCCCTTTTTTCTCGTTTTTTTTTTTTTTGTTAAATTTTTATGCAAACATATTTACAATTTCAAATATACGTCTAAATAAATCGATTTATTCAATAGCGTTAAAATATTTGCCCGTTTTTAATTAAATCTTTTTTTATTCATCGTACTGAATTTAACTGATATAACACTTCTGAAAATCTAGTACTTCAACATTCCACATGATGGGAACGTACTCCATGCCGGTTGACAGTTCGCTCTCATATTTCTATATTTACATTTGTTTTGTTACAGTATTTATTTGCTTGAAAAAGTGACGATTTAAAATAATTAAATAAATTATCAAAAAACTGAATTCAAAAAATGATTCCCGATCCATTGCTGTTTACATTTTCTCTCATTGAAACAGGCGCACTTCTCTTCTTATTGGTGTATTTTGTATCCTTTTCAAAAGAATAATATTAGCCTATCGGTATCATAAAAATGAATGTTTGGCGTCAATTATTCATTCCTTACATTAAAATAACACAACAGACTATTATTTTATCCGATTTAGAATGTGATTATATGAATGCTCAACATTGCTGTTCGAAGCTAAATTTTTGGATTATACCAAAACTAGTGGCACATGCATTTTTAACATTGGCTTTTCTCTTCACGGGTCACTATTGGTTATTTCTTTGCAATGTACCGATGTTGGGATGGAGTGCGTATGAACTATATAGTCTTCCATCTGGAAATATGGGCCTATTTGATCCAACCGAAATTCACAATCGTGGCATGATCAAAAAACATATGCGCAACTGCATGATATATCTCGGATATTATCTAATACTTTTCTTTGTCTATTTGTACTGGTAATCTAATGAATAATTTAAATCAAATGATAAAATGCAGTATTTTAAATAGAAAAATTGTTCGTATTTTTTCAGTTTAATCAACGCTTTGCTCAAAGGGGATCCAATTAGACGACATGAAGATGGCGAGATAATAACTGAATTTTAAGTTTGGCATTCACAAAAGATATTATTTGAACTATGTCAACATCAATAATACTCAAATTAGACTGAATTTTATTTATTCAAACCAAAGTATTGAAACTATTCGTCGGAACATAAAGTTTATATTAGAATTCATTTCATGAACATATTTCAAACCAAAAAAAAAATTCAAAACCTTATATCACATGGGGGGCGAAGTTTATAGAAAATGCACATGAAGTAGTGCCAAACTATAGTTTTTTATCTGCCAATTCAATTAAAAGACAAACAAGAACGACTAAGCTAAATTGATTTTGGGTTTTCTTGTTATTTTATGTATTATATTTATTGAATTTAGCATCAACAAATGTCATTGAGATATTTCCTAAAATTAATGCAAAAACAAATTTAGCCAAATTAAACAAAATTGATGGTTGTTTAGATTGTGTCACAAGAAAATGTGCGATTTTTGTGAAAAAAATCGTTATGAAATATTTGTCATTTAATTAGACCAATTGTTTAAACAAGTTTTTTAAAAAATTTCCATTCAAGTCGTATTTGCAATAAAAATTAATTAAAAATTGAAGCAGTTTTTTTCTCTGTCAACCTCATTTTCGCACATACAATACAGTGAATCAATTGTTTCGATAGAATTTGTCAGTTACCAAGTAAGTGAAATGTGAGATTGCCGTTTTAAATTCAATTGTTAATAATATAAACAGAATGAAAAACAGCAGTCTGTTATTCAAATTTCTGAAGCTTGTGACAAAGCGGAATTGTAAATAAGGACAGGTCATGCATTAAAGATTAAAATCGTGCTCGAAGCTTGGCCAACACTTTGATGATACGAAATACAAAGTTAAATAACAAACATACAAACAAAGAAGCAACGAAAAAATAACAATATGAAAATATAAATAAAAACAATCACAACAAAATGAGTCGTCGGCATTTGTTCGCATATGTGTGGAATGTTTTTTCTTCTACTCTTTAACGTTGTGTTTGTATATTGGTTGTACATTTGATACCTGTATGTAAGTAAGTAACAAGTGTAATTGTTGCTTGCATATCAATGTCATATACAAATAAACGCGCACACGCAATGTCAAAGCGATTCCAATCCGTTTTTGTCTCGACAATACCAACAACGCAAACATTGCCAGAAAAAAAAAGAAATATGTGCGGTTGCTTTTGTCTCATTCTATCTCTTTCGCACGAGTGCGCCTCCGCTTTTTGCCACAAATACTAGCGAAATCCTTTTCCAATTTAAGATCCTGTTGTTATGAAATCCAGTCCAAGTGAAAGCTTGATATTGGCGGGTACGTGTACAGTACGCATCGTGCCAAAAGCTTCTCCATGTGTTTGTTTCTCATCTTATTCAAAATACTAGCGCAGTTATCGATTTGGTGTATGTGTATGTGTATGGTTGTTGAATATTTGGGCTCACAACTGATAAGAACAGTCAGGGGAATGTATGTAGGCAACGTGTGTGTATTGTGTTCATTCACCTATATTTTTTTGTTGTGGTTTTGGACGCGTTCAGGTTCATGCGTCTCATTCATGTATGATAAGCACGATGAACGAATACATGAAACAGTAGCTTGATATTAGTAAATTCTTACTCCTTCTATTTGCTTATACTACTTTAGTTTACTGTTGTTTTCAGTCACGATTCAGTTTCTCTCTCTCTCTCTCTCTCCTTTTCTGAGGTGAACCTTTTGCTGTCATTCTCCATCTGAAACATTAAATGTGTACGACTGTGAATATTCTGCGTTGAAGCACACATTCAGGGACAAATACATACATAGTAAACATTTTATGACGGTAGCACTGCCGAAAACAGTCTTAAATTGAATGAATACTGTGAAATAGTGAGAGAGCGCGCGAGAGATGGACATTGTGAGCGAGAACACAACAAGAGCTCGAATTCAAATTTGAGAGAGATATGGTTAGTGGGATATTGTGAAAGAGAGATAGACCAAAAAACGCACGCAAAGTGACACGCTCGCGTTCAGCATTTGATACGGAAACGGTGATGTAGCGCCGCCGATAAAACGTGTATGTATATGAAATATGAGACGTAAGTTGCTTGCGTTTTGGCTGGTTTTTCGTTCGTCAAAATGGGATTGTCTCTCGTTGAAGTATCACGTATAAACTTCGTCTGAGTGTTTAAAATCCGTGTATCCGAGTCGCTTGTTTTTGATTTTAAGGAATTTTGTTTTGGTTTCAAGTTTTTTTTCTTCATTTCACTACTTCCACATCATTTCATTTTGATCAGTGAACATTTACCATTTACGACGATACATATTCACAAAAACCAAGTGCAAAGAGAGACAAACGACAAACAACAAACGAAACATCATTTTGCAGAAAAATCTACGTGTTTATCTCGAATAAAACGAGCCCATTGCAATATCAGCTAAATTCATCCAGTGTCTCGACGAAGGGGTTCTTTTTTTGTGCGAATGGTGCGTTACATTCTATCGGTTGTTTGAATATTAACGATTCTTTATGTTTATGCGTAACACGATACACTGAACCAGTGTATTATTATTTTTTTGCTCTCGTAAACTAAACGCCAAGATATCTGAGAATATATTCATTATAACATAATACGACGAGATTTGATACAGAACAATTCTCAAATCTAAATAAAGGTCTGAGTGCGAGAGATTTTGTAAGTGATGCTGAGCGCCAATTGTTAAAGTGTCAAAAATGTATATCGGTTTTAGTTGCAATGATGTGAAATCAGAAATAAAAATTACACACATTGTACGGCACATTCATAAAAACCTATAAACCGAGTAATATTTGGATTGTAGTCGTTTTTTCGTCGGTGGCAGTTTGTAGTTTCTTTCAACAGTCAGCGTGCAAAAGCAGTGTCAGACTGTGTGTTCTGTAATGCGTATCGTGTGCTTGTCAATCGTGTGTACACTTTAAACCTGAAAGAGATTGAAAGAATACGTAATAAACTAAAACCAGAATTACAAAAACAAAGTCAAACGCGATAACGAACAACAGTGAGAAAGTATACAAACACACAAAACGAAGAAAGAACAAACGAGAAATATGAAACAGTTTCTTTTTTGTCGTAGCGATGACACACCAAAATCACATCCCAAATTATAGATAATACACAAATACTGTGAATCGAAACAAGTTTCAAATCGGTTTTATATAGAACGATACAGAGACAAATACGGTCAAAAGAAATTGCCGCACTTTCCGCACAATGTTTTCAAATCAATATGACCATAGTATTTTTTTGAATGATTTACGACCATGTAAGCCGTCGATTTCACCAAAAAGGCAGCAAAAACTTCATGTGAATGCAACAACAGCTTGACTAATAAAAAAACACCACAGTATAATTGATTTAATGGCGTTTCAATCAACGGTTCTGTAAAGGCGCACGACTTTGGTGATACCGATTATTATTACATCATGATTTTTCTCTCATCCAACTGAAAACCCCACTGCGAATCAAGATTTCAAACACTGAAAACGAATTGAATATTATTCAATACATTTTCTTGTGTGCGTTTCAAACAACTTCGCATAAAAAAATCGTAAAAGAACTGGTAGACCAGTCATAACTATTAATCGGTCGCAACTTTGAAATTAAATCACTGATTCAACTTAATTAGTTTTGGTTTTGAGTAAAAGAACACTAAATCCATGTGCAGTGCAAAACAAAAAGGCTGAATAAACAATCGTATGACATTTCAAGTAATAAGAAGAAGAAAAAAAAATTGTCGCCTTTGAAAAACAAACGATTCACCGTAAATTAAGCTGGACACTTAATTAGAAACTTATTTCAGAAACGTAAAGAATTAAGAGACAGTGAATAAGATAGAGATAGAGAGAGAAAGAGACAAATCAATAACATGACAAATGAATGAAATCATAACAAGATAGTTGTAGATTATTACAGCATTTCAAGTACCAAGTATCTGATTCTCGGCAGTTGATTAAGAGTCATTTTGTTGTTGGTGTGTGTGTTTTCTCAATGTATGTTAGTTTAAGTGAACAAAAAAGCAAATACACGACGCCGCCAGATGATGAATTTCACTCGATTTATTGATACAAAGTGAGTTACTCAATTGTGCAACCAAAACAAGACAGTTCAAGCAACTCGAATCTCTCGTTTTGAATGGTTATAAACAAGAATAAATTATCAATAGAGTACACACAACACTGTTGTGACAGCAGTAGAACACATCACATAGCACACACACACAGCCGGTGATATTGCCCGTATTGATTGTTCCGTTTACATTCCGCATTCATTTTATCGATATTGAAATCGAAAAGTCCAATTAAAATTCGACAAACTTACTTTTGCTCCGTAAGTATCATTTTGTTTGCATAAATTTTATGTTCATGAGAAGATATTACTAAAATTCGACTAATTATTCATAATAACATTAACATTTATTGCAATGTATCTGAAAATGTGTGACAAAATTACTAGGGGGAAGACACGAATTCTTACTAAAATCAGAGCATACGAGAAGAATATTTGTGAAAAAATGTTCATGTCGATTCTTTCCTATTACAATACATTTTTAAATGGATGGAATGCGTCGTAAGGAATACAACTTGTTTAGAAACTAGCGCCACCGCATTTACATTTGATTGGTAGATAGCTGAGACAACAAAAACTCACTAGAAACTTTAAAAGAAATTCGAAACGCACTAGCATATCCCCTAGCAAAATCATTTACCCCGCAATCCCGTAATTGTTCCACTATAATTTTGTAGCATTCACTCAGCGAAATGACAATCGTATAACAAAAATTGTTCAATGCTATTTAAATATTGCAGTTGTTGTCTGCACCGACGGCTATACATTCAATACAGACTGAGGTAACCCCGGCTGTAATTCCATGCATGTACATGATACACAACGATTATTAGCGATGTATTATGAACAAAATAAAATAATAATACCGATATACACATGAAAATCTGTGCAAATGTTCAAAGTAATCGGACAATATTGTCGCTTAATATCACCGAAGATCATATACGAATATGCATAATATAGAAATGTATATTGCGTGCGGTTGACCGACTATAGTTAGTTTGAGTAAATCCAAAATCAACACAACAAAAGAGAACAGCACTCATACCGCGCGTCGTTAGAAGCTCAAAACTATAAATGTAGAATACATTTTACATTTTCAATATCATTTCATTTCATGTTTACATACACACGTCGCACACTATATGACGCTTGCTTTATAGACTAGGTCATTTTGTATGTTCGTTCATTTTCGCAACGTAAAATACGACACATCCGCAC